GGGCTCGAGTGACCATCTTGCCTCAGCCTCCCAAGTAGCTGGGTCTTCTGGTGCCTGCCACAACGCCCAGCTAGTTTTCCTATTTTTAGTAGAAGTGAGATCTTACTCTTGCTCAGGCTGGTCTGGAATTCCTGAGCTTCAGCAGTTCACCTGCCTCAGCCTCCCAGAGTACTGGAATTACCACTCCAGGCCTTCTTCTTTTTTTTTTTTTTTTTTTTTTGAGTTAGGTCTTACTGTGTTGCCCAGGCTAGCAGTAGCATGATCCTAGCTCACTATAACCTCTAGCTTTGACTCACCTTATTTTTGTTTTTTGTTTTTATTTTATTTTTGAGACAGAGTCTCACTTTGTCACCTTTGGTAGAGTGCCATGTCATCATAGCTGTGAGCCAGCAACCTCAAACTCTTGGGCTCAAGTGATTCTCTTGCCTCAGCCTTCTGAGTAGCTGGGATTACAGGCCCCTGCCGCAACACCCGGCTATTTTTAGAGATAGGGCCTTGCTCTTGCACAGGCTGGTCTCGAAAGTGTGAGCTCAGGGTAATCCACCCGCCTCAGCCTCCCAGAGTGCTAGGATTCCAGGCATGAGCCACAGCACCTGGCTTCAGCTTATTTTTAACTTTTTTGTAGAGACAAAGAACTCTTAGTGTTAAGGCATCCTCCTGCTCAGTCTCTCAAAGTGCTAGGATTATAGATATGAGCCACTATGCCTGGCCATTGTGATTAATTTTAAGAGAAGGACTGAAATAGGAAACTAAGTAGAATATTATAGCTACAAAATCCTGTTTTCCTGTACAGTATCAATTATTTTTTAGAATCATTCTTGGGGGCTGGGCATGGTGGCTCACACTTGTAATCCTAGCACTCTGGGAGGCCAAGGCAGACAGATCTCATAGGTTGGAGACCAGCCTGAGCTAGAGCGAGATCCCACCTCTAAAAATAGCTGGGCATTGTGGCAGATGCCTGTAGTCCCAGCTACTCAGGAGGCCGAGGCAAGAGAATTGCTTGAGCCCAGGAATTTGAGGTTACTGTGAGCTGTGACACTACAGCACTCTGCCAGGGGCGACAAAGTTAGACTCTATATCTCAAAAGATTAAATAAATAAAATGAAATAAGATAAAATAATCATTTTGGGGAGGACCCTGTGGAAATGATAATGATTGAAGGCATTCATTCTTCTGTTTCTTCCCCATGTGACTCCCCAGTGTTATGAATAAAGTTCTATGTATGTTCCAAAGCCTTAATTAAGGCTTTGTTTCAAGGCCTTTGTTTTGTGTATTTCTTTCCAATGGTCTTATTTTTATTTTTTAAATTAGTGTAGATATGTTCAAGTTCTAAAATACTGGAAGGCAGCTGAAAACCGTGATTACTCTGATCTTTCTATCTCTTCCTTCAATTTAACTTTCTTAGGGCCAGGCATGGTGGCTCATGCCTATGATCCTAGCACTCTGGGAGGCCGAGGCAGTTGGATTGCCTGAGCTCACAGGTTTGAGACCAGCCTGAGCCAGAGTGAGACCTCATCTCTCTGGGTGTTGTGGGGGGTGCCTATAGTCCCAGCTACTCAGGAGGCTGAGGCAAGAGAATCACTTGAGCCCAAGAGTTTGAGGTTGCTGTGAGTTATGATGCCTCGGCACTCTACCGAAAGCTACAAAGTAAGACTCTCAAAAAAGTTTTTTTTTTATCTTATTTGAGTCTCTGGAAGAGATAAGATTTCATCATCTTATTATGGTTTGCATTTGAATTTTGAAATGAGCCATCAGGTTGGGGTTGCTTAGCCTGTTTTCTAACATTTGGCAGCTTCACATGACCTCTTACTTATTAATGGGGTACAGTCTACAGTAAGACCATTTACCAGACCATGAACTGTTCTTAGTATGAAAGTAGATCGAGGGTGGAATAATAAATCTGCTCTTCACTAACTCAGTCACCTTAGGGAAACTTACTTAAACTGAGCCTTAGCTTCCCCATCTATAAAATGATATAATGTTGTATATAAATACTTAGTAGAGTATATGATGTATAATAGATAATCAACGAACATTTCTTCCCCTGCCAAGGTTAAAACAGAAGTTAAGAAAGTCAAATTAGGAGTTTTCTGATAAGCACAAGTGAACCATAAGAGAACTAAGCTGTAAAAGCACTGAGAAAAATGTTGCATTTTCCCCTCAAAGGCACACAATTAGCATGGTAGACTAAGTTTCCAAGAGCATTGGAAATAAACAGATTTTTATTCTGTTAGATTAAATCTGAGAAAAGTAAGTTTAATGGTATCTTTGTATTAAATGATGTTTTGTTTTTTTACTCCACTTCCATTAATTCAATTCTCTCTTCTCTAGCTTTCTGGGTAAACTTCTTGATTCCATGAGAAAAAAACTTCTGTAAATAATAAATATGAGTAGAGCTATAAATTCTAGTTTATACTCTCTCAGACACTTCTGAGCAGATTTACAAAGGCCAGTAATAACCTGAGGGGTATGACTGATTGAAATAGTGGCATGATCGTTGCTCACTGCACCTTTGAACTCCAGGGCTTAAGTAATCATCCTGTCTCAGCCTCTCAAGTAACTAGAGCTACAGGAATATGCCGCCATGCCTAGTTATTTTTTAATTATTTGCTCACTCAGTAGGCATTTCAGAGTACCTACTGTCACATCTTGTTAAGTGTTAGAGAAACCCAGAGAAAACAAAACCCTCTGCCCTCCAAGACTTTAGTACATTCCCAGGTAAATAGGTTCCCTGCATATCAGCATGTATACTCCATGGCAGGGTTTCTCACTTAGGCACTTGGACATTTTGGGCCAGGTTATTCTTGTTGCAGTTTGGCCAGGGCTGGGTTCTAACCCACCACCCTCAGTATATGGGGCCTGCACCCTACCTACTGAACCATAGGCACCGCCAAGGGCCAGATTATTTTTTGTTGGAGGGTTTTCCTGAGAAACTTACAGGATGTTTAGCTGCTTTCCTGGCCTCTACCCACTAGATGTAATAACCCTCTCCTCCTCCCCAAGTTGTGACAATCAAAAATATCTCCAGGCCGGGGGCAGTGCCTTTCACTTGTAACCTTCCCATTCTGGGAGGCCAGAGGGTGAATTGCATGAGGCCAGGAGTTGAAGAGCACCCTGAACAAGAGTGAGACTCTATCTCTACTAAAAAATAGAAAAATGAGCCAGGCACAGTGTTTTGGGCATGTAGGCCTAGCTACTTGGGAGGGTGAGACAGGCAGATCACTTGACCCTGAAAGTTTGAGGTTGCTGTGAGCTCTGATGATGCCTCTGCACTCTAACTGGGGCAACAATGTGAGACTCTGTCTCAAAAAAAAAAAAAAAAAAAAATCTCCAGCCATTCCCAGAGGCCTAGGGGTAAATCCTCTGGATGTAAAGCAGAATTTATGTCATTGACAAAGAGGTTTAATAAGTGACTTTTCAGGCTCAGCGCCTGTGGCTCAAGCCGCTAAGGCGCCAGCCACGTACACCTAAGGTGGCGGGTTCGAATCTCCAGCCCGGGCCTGCCAAACAACAATGATGGCTGCAACCAAAAAATGGCCAGGCATTGTGGCGGGCGCCTGTAGTCCCAGCTACTTGGGAGGCTAAGGCAGGAGACTCGCTTGAGCCCAGGAGTTGGAGGTTGCTGTGAGTGTGATGCCATGGCACTCTACCCAGGGGGACAGCTTGAGGCTCCGTCTCAAAAAAAAAAAAATAAGTGACTTTTCAAAAATTTAATGCAAAGCTAGCAAATGTAACAAAGGAAAGAAAATATAGATCTGTCAAACAGTGCTTATTACAACACACTGCTTGAAGAGGAATCCACAAAATAGTACTGAATAGCGCCTACTAAGTGCTTTCTTTTTTAGCTTGGATGTCTGTGAGGTCTTCTCTTTCTGAGTTACTATGTATAAGAGAATAATTGGTTTCTTGGGGACTTCACTAAAACAACAAACAACACAAGTTAATTGTGGGGGGGGTGTCTACTCATAATAAAAATCTTAGTTCTTTTCTGAGCTCTTTGTGGCCAGCATTATCCTTTTCTTGTTTGTTTGTTTTTTGAGACAGAGTCTCACTATGTCACCCTCAGTAGGGCGCTCTGACATCACAGCTCACAGCAATCTCAAACTCTTGGGCTGAAATGATTCTCTTACCTCAGCCTCCCAAGCAGCTGGGACTAGAGGTGCCTGCCACAATGCCTGGCTATTTTTTGTTGCAATTGTCATTGTTGTTTAGCTGTTTGAACCCGCCCACCTTGGTGTATATGGTTGGTGCCATAACCACTGTGCTATGGACACCAAGCCCCTTTTCTTGTTAAGAATAGAAGTATTTTGGCTCAGTGCCTATAGCTCTGCAGCTAGGGTGCTGGCCACATACACTGGAGCTGGCAGGTTTGAACCCAACCCAGGTCTGCCAAACAACAGTGACAGCTCACAGCAACCTCAAAGTCTTGGGCTTAAGCTGTTCTCCTGCCTCAGCCTCTCAAGTAGCTGGGACTACAGGCGCCTACTGCAACACCCGGCCACTTTTTGTTGCAGTTGTCATTGATGTTTAGCAGGCCCGGGCTGGGTTTGAACCTGCCAGCCTTGGTATATGTGGCTGACACCCTAACTACTGAGCTACAGGCACTGAGCCATCTTTAATTTTATTTATTTATTTAGCAGGCCCAGACCAGCTAGCTCTTTTGGTAAGCTCAACTCACCAAACAACTGAATAAATGAAAACAATTCGTTGGCATTGTTTTAGATAGTTGTTACTTAACAGTTACTTGCAACAAACCTGCCATCCTTGCTACCATCACTCTAATCACTGAGCTATGGGCACCCCCATACCCCAGATTCACCTTTGGTACTAATTAGCATGAAATGTCCATTTGGCCTCCCTCTGTCATAATTTTTTACCTTTAATGTAGGTAGAGACATGCAGACATAAACTCTTTTATCTTGTTTTCCTGACAAGCACCTAAATTTTATGAATCTATACTCTTTGCTCACGTACAGTTTTGTGTATTTTTATTTTTATAGAGTATCCACATTTCCAATTCTGGCCTGATAGAGTTTTGATTCATCATGGATAATCTGTCATCAGAAGAAATTCAGCTGAGAGCACACCAGGTTACTGATGAGGTAAGTGTTTTGCTTAGAATATTCTATTTCAAAAACAAACAAACAAAAAAAAAAGAATATTTCAGTTTTTACATTGGAGGGATGAGAAGGCCTTCTTGGAGGCCATTTTGGCTTCTTCCTAGCCCTTTTATGTCAAAGAACACATTTGCCCTAGACTGCCATTGCTAGCTCTTTTGGGAAGCTCAACTCACCAAACAACTGAATAAATGAAAACAATTCGTTGGCATTGTTTTAGATAGTCATTACTTAACAGTTACTTGCAACAAAGATACTATATATCTGAGGAATTTTGGACTTTTATTTTTACTTAATGATTTCCTAGTGTCAGTGTAGTGCACTTACATTTGTTTCTTCCTTACATTAAATTTTATGACTCCATACAATTTTTGTGACTCCTATTAAGCCCACTGTCCAAAGTTTCTCTCAAGGAATACATGGAAGAAAATGACCAAAAAAGGGCAGTTCCTGTGGCTCAAAGGAGTAGGGCACCGGCCCTATGTGCCAGAGGTGACGGTTTCAAACCCAGCCCCAGCCAAAAACTGCAAAAGAAAAAAAAAAAGAAAATGACCAAAAAATAATATTCAACTTTCTTTGTTTTGTTTTAAAGGGAGTAGCATCATATATGACCTTTGATGAGATTTTGCTTTGTTTTGTTTTGGGGGAGAAGGAGTTGCTACATATTTTGGAATGCTAAAATACAGTGTTTTTTCCTAGTCTCTGGAAAGTACAAGAAGAATCCTGGGTTTAGCCATTGAGGTAAGAAAGCGTTTAATCATTAAATTAAATATAGAAGTTTATAGGAAAGATCCTAATACCACTAGCTGGAATTGGTGTTAAAGAGTGTTATATTGGCTTGGCGCCTGTGGTTCAAGTGGCTAAGGCACCAGCCATATACACCTAAGGTGGTGGGTTTGAATCCAGCCTGGACCCGCCAAACAACAATGATGGCTGCAACCAAAAAAAAAAAATAGGCATTTTGGTGGGCGCCTGTGGTCCCAGCTATTTGGGAGGTGAAGGCAGGAGACTCACTTGAGTCCAGGAGTTGGAGGTTGCTGTGAGCTGTGATGCCATGGCACTCTACCCAAGGGGACAGCTTGAGGCTCTGTCTCAAAAAAAAAAAAAAAAAGAGTATTGTATCAATACACTTTATTATTTGAAACCAGCAATCGCTGAAATTGTCAAACCATACACTAACAGGCCTTTTCCAGTTTTCCCATTGACAGTATTGGAATATGATAAGGAAGATTAATTCATCATGAGTTTGCGACTTATTTATTTTGGGGGATTAATGTTAAAGTATGTTGGTTTAACACTATTATTTCTGTCTGTAACTCTTGCGAGAACTTCTTTCTAAATGGTTTTACAGTTCTTGTAGGTTTTTTTCTGTTGTTTTGTTGTACTATCAGCTTTTTTTCCTTCTTTAAGTCTCAGGATGCAGGAATCAAGACCATCACTATGCTGGATGAACAAGGGGGTGAGTTAAAGTCATTGGCAGAAACTCTTTTGACTGAATCATTCTTAAAAGCCCTATCAAATAAGCCACATGTAAATTTTAGCTTTTGGGGCGGCGCCTATGGTTCAGTGGGTAGGGTGCTAGCCCCATATACCAAGGGTGGTGGGTTCAAACCCAGCCCCAGTCGAACTGCAACAGCAGTTGCAAAAATAGCCGGGTGTTGTGGTAGGTGCCTGTAGTCCCAGCTTCTCGGGATGCTGAGGCAGGAGAATCACCTAAGCCCAGGAGTTGGAGGTTGCTGTGAGCTGTGTGACACCACGGCACTCTACCGAGGGCGATAAAGTGAGACTGTCTCTATAAAAAATAAAAGAAAACAAATTGCAGCTTTTGGAAGTGCCTTTCCTTTATAGATAAGAGTGATATGTTTACTTTTTTTTCTGATGTGAATTATGTCATGTTCACTGTCTGTTAGTGATAGGGAGCAACAATGCCCAACTGTATACGAAGTATGGGTTAGGCCAGCCTAGGTTATTGTGTTTACTTGGTGTGTGTACATTAGACATATGATATCTTACATAATCCTCAGAAATCAAATAAAATCCTAAAATAAGTCAAAATTGAGATGAACTTGGAATCATTTGAATTGATCCTGAGTAACCTGGTATAATTTTTATTAATTTTGTGACAACCCTAAGGTTTCAAGCCTATTAAATTAGAAATGCTGGCTGGGCATATTGCCTCATGCCTGTAATCCTAGCACTCTGGGAGGCCAATGCAGGTGGATTGCTTGAGGTCATGAGTTTGAGACCAGCCTGAACAAAAGTGAGACCCCCATCTCTACTAAAAATAGAAAAACTGAGGCAAGAGGATCACTAAAGCCCAAGAATTGGAGGTTGCTGTGAGTTATGATGCCAAGTGACAGCTTGAGACTCTGTCTCAAAAGAAAAAAAAACAGTTAGAAATTCTGGGAATCTAAACTGGTCAAAGTACAACTTCATTGTAAGGGTGATCTCTAAATAACCCTCACATGCTCCTACTGTACAGAACAAACCTTTCTATGTAAGAGGCCAGCTGCCTCAGGATCGGTGTGTGAAAGACTATTTTCATGTTTAACAGCTTGTAATACTTTCTGAAACTGATACATTCACTGTGGTAAGATATTGGTAGATTTGAGGTTAAGGTTTGGTACTTCATGATGATAGCATTTTCTGGTTGACTCTGTGAATGTAACACAAAATGTAACTGCCACAACTTATTCTTAGAACAACTAAATCGCATAGAAGAAGGCATGGACCAAATAAATAAAGACATGAGAGAGGCGGAGAAGACTTTAACGGAACTCAACAAGTGCTGTGGTCTTTGTGTCTGCCCATGTAACAGGTGAGTTGATAAATCAAGACTTTTAAAGATAGATTAATAAGTGAATGAGAGGAGCCCTGGCCCACATCACCTCTTCCCCCAAATAAAGTCAGATATATGACTGATCTTAAATGAGGAACTTTCTTAAATAAACTTAAGTTATTTCTTTTTAAGGCAGATCAAGCTTTTCATGAAAATAGGATGTGTTCGCCGAAAATCATGGCTTAAATTTTACCAATCCTGGGATCAAGTCCCAATTTTGATTGAAAAAGTTGGGAAATATATATCTGAATGATACAGAGCAGGATGGAGTTAGTATCTTTTCCTTTCAAACAATGAGTATTAACAAAATATATATTCTGTGTAGTCACATGAGGGATGGCCAAGGAGGGTACTTGGACCCTGTTTCAAAAGACTTACCCTGTGCTTGGATAGGTGAGAAAGAATGGCAAAAAATAAAAAATAGATGAATCTAGTGTTAGCTCATGCATTACTAACTAAGGCTAAGGGTACAGAACTGATAAACCTTGGATTGGACAACATCTTATAGAAGAGGTAGGACGTAAGTTGGGCTTTGAATGAGAAGAAGGATTTAGATGAACATGGAAGAACCGTGAGGGCATTTCCTGTGGAAGGTTCAAAGTGAAGTTTAAGGAAGAGCTTGACTTAACTGTGCAGCATGATTCATGTATATGAGAAGTGGAAAATAAGCTGTAGTGGTAGCGGAAGAACTTGAATACCAAACTAAGGAGGTGATAGATTGGAATAGAGTGG